GAGCCCAGAGAGCAACATGTTCTTTCAGTTTATTAGAGTCAAGCCGGCAGTCAGACATCCTTAGCGCTGCTGCGAGGCGGGAGAGGCTCCCTCGACCACAGCTGCGCTCGCCAGCTGTGAGTCCGGCTTTTGGCTCACTGACCACCCAGGGGCAGCTCCTGCGTTGAGCATCTGCCCCCTGGTGGTCAGTGCACGTCATAGTGACCGGTTGTGCCGCTGTTTGGTCGATTTGCATATTGGCCTTTTATTATATAACATAGGATAGGATGTCATCCTTGAAACCATCGCTTGATCACTTGGACCTCAGATTTCTTATTTATTAAATTGAGAGAACAACTTCATGGAATTGCCATGATGGTTAAATAAGCTGTCATCTAAAACACAATGCCTAAGACATAGCAGGAATTCATTATCATTATCTCCCTTCTCTTGAAGCAAAAGTAAAGGCAAAAAATTGTTTTCAGTGACTTATGAGTGCCTGTAGTATTTTAACTATATAATTTTTATGGCATTTATACTTGCCTTGTGGTTGATAAAAGTCTTACTTCCTCATAATGTTAGGCCTTTGAAGACACACTTTGTGACTTTCAGTTGATTATAGATAATTGTGGCTCTTGGTTTTTGTTAAGTTTATCCCAACCTGTAATATAACAGTCAAGATATAAAGGGTGATAAATTTTAAAAAATAGCAAACAACTTTGCTGTTAGAGCCTTTGACCTTTAAGACCCATAGTACCCGGGGTTGGAGAGGGCAATGGGGGAAAAAAGGGACATATGTAATACTTTCAACAATAAATATTTATTAAAAAAATAAAATAAAATAAACCCCATAGTACCCCTAAAGGTCAAGTTACCAGGACTCAGGAAAAGGAGGTGGTAGCATTGGAGATGAAATTGATTTTTCTGACAAGCCTTGACTTGTCAGGTGTTGCACAAAAGAAAGCGAAGAGTTCTCTGTCTTCCACAGACTGACTTAGATTTTTAGTAAAGTGGCTCCTGATCTTCAGCTTTTTCTTATCTGAGCTGGGGCTTGTATTAGTGTAGGTTTTATATTTTACTATCAGAATGGATGGGCTAGAGCAGCGGTCGCCAACATTTTGAACCTCACCGACTACCCGTGGTCCGCGGACCACTGGTTGGTGACCACTGGGCTAGACTAATGTTCAGAAAGAACTTTACAGTTCTAGCTTAGAATTTCAGGAGCACATTTTGAAAATTGATGGTTTAGAAGTAACTGGAATTAAGGATAGAGAAATTTCATGATAAATTGGAAATAAGAAACTTTTTCAGAATATTCATCCAACAAATATTTTAATGAGTGCCTAATATTTACAAAGAAGACCTGGTTGCATTAAAATTCAAAAACATTTTTGTAAGCTTAATGTAAATCAGCACTTTCACACATTCTGTCATTCACTTTCTCCCAAGAAATTGTTGATCCCATTTTATGGGTAAGGAAACTCTTCTCAGAAGTTAAGTAGTGTTCAGATGGTTAACAAGTGGCAAAGCTGGGATCTTAAAGTTCTCTCTCCGAGTCTGCTTTCTGCTACTCTGCAGTTGGGATTGTTCAACTGTACATAAGTGCATGGAGGAACTCAAAGACCCATAAGAGAACTCTTGACTGAATTGAGGTATCAGAGGAAGGTAAATGGTAAATCTGGTTGTTCCATGGTCATTTGTTTGTACCTCTAGTATGGTGTTAAATATAGTCTGTCTTGTGTTATTTTTACTTGTACATGTATATGTCTCCTTCACTGGATTTTGAATTAGTGGAGAGCAGAGGCCATGGCTGTCTCATCTATCTTGGCAACTACTTAAAATTCATTTTAAAACAGGCTAGGCATTCCTTTTTTAAAGTTGTTTTTATTTTAAAGTACCCTACATGGCCTCCTGCATATAGGTGCTCAGTAAATGTTTGATTTAAATTAATCCCAAGTTTCTTAGGTCCTATTGTTGAAGAAACTGGTGGTGCAGCCCATTTCCCAGAAGTTCTCTTCAGTAGGCTGAGCAGGACTGAGGAGCCCAGTGATCAAATAGCTGAGAAGCCAATATTCATCCTTTTCTTGTCCATTAAGTATGATAGGGGATACAAGCATAGCAGTGGGAATTGGGGTTTGGCTTAGCCTAGCCATAGTTAAAGAAATACTGAGGGGGGGAGGGAGGCTCCTTCTAGAGCTTGCATGCACACATCTTACCTCTTCCTCTTCCCTCAAGAACCACTCTGCTCTCTCTCTCCTAAGCTCCAAGGGCTCTTTTTGCCTCTATCTTGTTCCTGAGCCCACACAGCCCAGCTGGCTCACCTTTTCTACCTCTGTGACTTTCTAAATAAATTTTCCTTGTATTTGAAAAACAAAAATGCTCAGGGAGATTGGTGTTAGTAAGGTGGACTAGAAGTTAAAATACTTCTGTTCTCTACCTGGTCATACTACTTTCTAATTTTGTGAGTTTGCACAAGTAACAATGTCTCTAAGCTTAAATTCCTCATTTACATGATGGAGATAACTAGTTTCAAGGCCAATGCAACCTCTAATCTGAAGATGGTAAATTCATTTACCCAAGTCCTGAGTTTAGTTGAGATAATTACTGAATTCTCCCCCCCGCCCCCCGTGCTGTTTGACTAATTATTCTGGGACGCCAGAGCAGACTGTGTGATCATTTACAATAGGTGCCATTCTGTTAATTTCAACTCTGCATCCTAAGAGAGACAGTGATGGAAACACCTGGTGCTGGAAATAGGCATGAATGCCTTTTCCTAACTGAACAGTTGAGCGCATCAATTCTGGAGCACATTAACCTTCCCTTTTGGGAGAGGCCAAATTAAGGTCTGTTAAAATATTTCTTCAGAAGATCATAATATGACTCTGGAGCTTCCGGACTGAAAAGTGAAATTGTCTTAATTAACAACAGCAAGGTGATTTGGGTTCCAACTTCCAGATGCTACTTTTAAGTTTGTTGGAGTGTTGTGCCCTTTTAATAATGTTACACAATATGAGACATCTTAGCTCTCTTTCTAGAACTTGGAGCAAAAGCTCAAGTGCCTTTGGTTGGTTCAGAAAGAAGGGGGTTGCTTTTATTGTAATAAAATTTAAAGTCACCTTTTTTATCCACATGGTCCTGTTTTATAGATGACCATGTGAACTTAGGTAAGCACTTCATGTCTCTGATCTTCACTCTTCTCATTTGAAAAATGATGGGATTGAACTAGCTAATCTCTAAGATCCTTCCTCTAGTTCCACCTTGTTTTTATTTTTATTTTGTTTTAAATGCTAGTACCTGCCTGATTGTACTGTTTTTTGGGGGAGACTGTCTGGTTCCTACCCCAGCATAGCATGTTCATCAGTGTCAAACAGGAGTTTCAGACTTTTGGTTCTTAACCCATTCTTTTATTAAAAAAATGTTTTTATTGATTTTAGAGAGAGAGAAAGGGGGAGAGAGAGAGAGAGATAGAGAGAGAGAGAGAGAGAGAGAAACATTGATGAAAGAGAAACATTGATTGACTGCCTCCTGCACAACCCCTACTGGGAATCGAATCCACAACCTAGGCATGCATCCTGACTGGAGATTGAACCAGTGACCTCTCGGTGCATGTGACAATGCTCAACCAACTGAGCCACATTGGCCAGGGCTTAACTCATTCTTAATGCTCTATCTTAGAGAATTGGTTCAAGTGCTTTGTCCCAATATCCCCATTAACAAAACAGGGGAATGGAAAATTTTTTAAGACTTTTTAAAGATATGTATTTTATTGATTTTTTACAGAGAGGAAGGGAGAGAGATAGAGAGTCAGAAACATCAGTGAGAGAGAAACATCAATCACTTGTCTCCTGCACACCCCCCACTGGGAATGTGGCCACAACCAAGGTACATGCCCTTCACCAGAATTGAGCCTGGGACTTTTCAGTCCGCAGGCCGATGCTCTATCTACTGAGCCAAACCGGTTAGGGCAGGAATAGAAATTTTAATCTATTTTTATCCTAACATTGAAGTGGGTAGTAATGCTATTTGGTAAAGTAGGAGGCACTGGGCCAGGAGTCAAGGGACCTAGGATCTGTGCCTATCTTGTATCTAAATTAGTTGTATGCCTTTCTGTGCTTCAGTGTCTTAGACTGTAAATTCTTAAAAAGTTAAAATTTATTGAATGTACTAGTACATTGGGCACCAGATACCTGTGCTCGGTGCTTTATGTACATCATTTGTTACCTGCAGCAGCAAAGTGAGTACAAGGGGAACTTAGACCCTGAAAGGCAAGTTGTGCTCAGATCCCATGGGTAAGAGGTGGGAGAGCTGGGATTAGAGGCTACATCTTTCACTCCAAAGCCTATGCTCTTTCTACACCTCTGCTATTTCACCTTATCTGTAACATAGGAACCTACCATTTACACTTCCTAAGATTGTTGCCTGGAGCAGATAAGACGTCAACTGTCACATTGCTTTTGCCGGCTAGGATTTTATAGTTAAAGAAAACCCAGGAACAGTTTTAGTGTAGTTAAGATTCCCTGGGTTCAGATCCCAGTACTGTTATTTACTAGATTTGAACACTGGTCAGGTAACTTAGTCTCTCCACATGTCAGTTTTGTCATCTATCAGATGAGCATTATAACAGTACCAACAGTATCTGGTGTCATGAGGATTCTGTAAAGCACTTTAGATAGTGTTTTACATGTAGTGAGTATCCTTCCTATATAATAAAGAGATAATATGCAAATTGACCCTCATGCCCTCACAAGATGGCTGCCTATGACCAGGCCAGAAGGGGAGTTAGTGAGGGATGACAAACCA